CTATCTATCTATCTATCTATCTATCTATCTATCTATCTATCTATCTATCTATCTATCTATCTATCTATCTATCTATCTATCTATCTATCACAGTGCAAAAGTAACTCAACTGCACCATCTAGTGAAAACACACACAGTTTGTGCACTACAGAGTATTTACTGTGCTTTTAACGTTACATTAAAAAAAAAAAACCTGCACAGGTCACAGAGAACAAATGAATACATCTGAAACACATTTTAAGATTTTATAACAGTTACCATGCTGAAGTATCAGATGTATTACAAATTAAACCTTGGACGAGAAATTGAAGGGACAGCTCAGCTTCAAACACACATTTTGTTCCTGCTTACTTCAGTGTAATGTGTAGCTTGTAGACTGTGGTCATGATGTCATCCAGAGATACTGAGTGGAGCTGCTCCTGATGTGAACCACAGAAGAGTTACGACACAGTATGACAGCATTCAGGTTGTTTGAAATATCTCAAACAAAAGCTCTCACAGACTAACTTAAATAAATATCAACTGATGGCGGATCATTACATCGAAGACAAGTTTCCTCTCAACATGTTACTCACAGCGTTTTAGAAAAAGGAGAGAACATTGTGAGAAACCTGTGATGTAATGGAAAAGTACGATTTTTTAGGCCTTTATCACTTCTTTCACTCAAAAACATGTTTTGATGCAACAGCTCACGTCAGTCTTTTTGAGTTAGGACAATTTCTAACTCTTTCCCTCTACAATCAAAACTATTTTAATTCATGTTTGGAAGCATAAACACAAAGTCTTAAAGTGGATGAGTGAGTTGGAGAAATTCTGAACTCAAGGTGTACAACAATTAAGTTATGAAGCCTTTTTTTATTTAGTTACCTCAGCTTGAATTTAGCTTTAAATAAATGTTTGATTTTCACAGGTTTGTGCAGTTACCAACATTATTATGTCAACACAACCCAATAAAATTATGTCTGAAATTTGAAAGGTTTATCTAAATCAATTTGAATTTTTATTTTGCAAGCATGGATTTAATTAAGTGGTGGGAACACGTCCCTTTAATTTCGGAGCGTATGCAGTAAATAGAAACCAAAAGTATTGTCCAGTTTAAAGCAATGGATATGTTGTGAAAAAATATGGGATTTTCCTCATAAAATTATTCTTCTTTGCACATTTTCCATGATTGTTAATAAAACAACAGAGACTTCTGTTTGTATCAGAATATTTTTAGACCATTCCTCTCTGGATGTACCTGTACCGGGCCTGTATCTGCTGGTTATAAAAACAAAAAACCTGACGGCATTTCTCTAAGGTTGCCAAGTTTGGCACATTCACCAAAGACGCCTTTGTTTCTGTACTACTATGACTAACGTGTGTAGCTTTGTTGTGTTTCGGTTCTGTTGCATCAGATCTAGTAGAGTTACAGGAGGGGTTTTTCAAACCATACTCTCACTGCTGACAAGGAGACCTATTTTATTTCAAAATGATTATCCCTACTGATTTTTATTCACAGAGCCAAGGGAAGCACATTTTGGCCTCACAGTTTGCCAACTGTTACTGAATAAATCTGTTGATTGTTTACTCAAGAGAAGGTTTGAAAAACTAGCCCAGAGCCTCAGTGATTAATAACTGGACTTAAACATGTGCTGCTAATTGTTGTCTAATGAAAATGCACATAAACTAAATTAAAGACAATACAATCTGAAGATGGACAGCTCAGGAAAACAGGTGACTGATTAGAATCAGTAGAACAAAAGGTTTTTTGTCCTGCAGAAAAACATATTGTCTGGAATATTGCAGTTTTAATCATTTATAAGATGTATTATACATCATTTAATGCTGTTTGTGGGTGAAGGCTGCCCTCTTGAGGTAAATATTCTGCTGAGTAGTCAAACATTTCACCAGCCATCAGGTCGATTTACAGCAGCTGTAGTTGTGGTTGCATCCAGAGGAGGGCATCAGTGGGTCTGAATCACCACAAAGTCCCCTCAGTGTACATTCAGCCCAATGCAGTGATGTAATACAGTAAATAACTGGGAAATGCATGAAAAAAATCATTTCTTTAATTCCTTGAAGTACTTATGAATTAATGAAACAAAGTTTATGGTGGGCAGGAAAAACTTAGGTGCCTCTTAGTACACTTTGTCTCTCAAAAAACCTAAGAACCGCCTGCTCCCTGCACTGTCCATGCAGAAAAACCTAAACTGGTTGACATAATAGAATCTTTATTATTAGAGTTACCAGTATATATCTCACAGAATAAAAATGTGAAGGTTTAGGAAGCCAAATTTGTTTATTTATTCATTTGTGATATCAGTGACTGTGAAAGCTGAGATGTCTTCTCTAATTTTGTTGTGATGCAGCTCTACAGTAAGATCCTGCTGCCAAAAAGTGAGGAAAGCAACTAAATACTTAGAGGATTTCTTAAACCACAGACAGCTGACTGACAGCACTGTGTGCAAATCAGACACTGATTCAGAGGCTGCTGGTTGTCCAGGAGCAGCTCGATTAGACTGTCTCATGAATATTTTGTGGTCAATAAACAGACGCTTCAAAGACTTCCATCAGCATTTATGACTTTTCTGGCGCACAAGAGCACAGCAGAGAGTTCCCCCTAAAGCAGCATTAAGTTGTTACTTCATGGAGTTGATTTTCTTAAACATTTATGTGGTTGAGCTGCAGCTTCAAATCAGCATCAAATAAAGTCACGAAGAAGTAAATTCACTGTGATTTCAGACGACAGCGACGACCGATGTGTCGCAGGCCTCTGTTTGTCTCAGAGGGGGTTGTTGGAGTTTCCTTGTAACCGGAATTAGCTGTGAAGTGCGACCTTGAGGTGTGAACACGGAATACGAAAGGTCCGGCTTGATTCAAGAAAAAGTCTCTCATACTTTGCACCTCGTTTGCAAGTGAATATCTTAACAAATAAATCGGGATTTACGCGTGAAGCGTGGTTGGAGACTGCTGAGTTCCCACAATAACAGTTTCAAAATCCACATTCATGTTAGGGTATTATTGGTTTGATTTGAAAAGATTAAACTTTACATAATGAGAATATACAACGAGTAGCATCATTTTCTATAATTTTTCCGTCATAATATGACCTGTTAATGGCCCCCAAAAAAGTGAGTTTGTGGAACAAGATCTATAGGATAAAACATTTCTGTGCGCCATTACGCACAGGCCTTTTTACTTAGTGCATTTGTGAACGTGTTGCCTCGGTTTATTGCGGGTTCGTGCAGCTTGTGCAGCTGAAAGGCCCTTGGTGTTAATTTATTCATGGGGGGGAGAGAGAACTCATGTTCAGGATAGGCCCACTGTCAGGTGATGACGCGCTACAGGACAGGCGCGAGGGGACAGCTGGGCCGGCAGAGATGGTCACTCTCATTTGGATGCAAATCTCCAAGAGTTGAGGAGTTGGCTGACGTCAGGCAGGCCTTAGTATACCTTTAGTCTCTTGTCAACAGAGCCACATCATGTGAGAGGGGAGACAGACTGGAACTACGTCGTATTTCACTTTGGGAACGCATTTGGACTATAAAAAGCAGAAGGATTGTTTTTAACAGTTTCAGGGCAGCAATGTCGCCTTAAGATAGGCAACATCACCCCTTTGCTGTTTGAACCACATTTAGCTTCTTTTTACAAATCATGTATGTTGGATACCTACTGGATAAAGAAAGCGGCATGTATCACCAAGGGCCAGTAAGAAGATCAAGCATCAATCTGCCTCCACAGAACTTTGTTTCTACACCACAGTACCCCGACTTTACTGGATACCATCATGTGCCAAACATGGATACGCACGGACAGTCTTCGGGGAGTTGGGGACCCTCTTATGGCGCTCCACGAGAGGATTGGGGTGCATATAGTCTGGGACCCCCTAACGCTATTCCCACACCCATGAACAACTCCTCTCCTGGACAGGTTCCTTACTGTTCGACTGAGTACAGTCATATGCATCCTCCGGGATCTGCGGTGCTACAGCCGCCACCGGACAACGTTACTGTCGCACAACTTTCTCCTGAGAGAGAAAGACGTAATTCATACCAGTGGATGAGTAAAACTGCTCAGTCATCGTCCACAGGTGAGATCCTCATCTTTAAAACTGTGCCAATATTATGTAATTCGATAGGTCGAAGGACGAGACAAGATCTTGCCCCCCCAAAAAAGCTAGATTTCTGCGCGCATGTTGGATTTAGGATTTTACGCACACATGGGTATTCCCATCCCATTAAAAAACAAAACAAAACAAAACAAAAATGCTCCGATTGAATTTGCTTAACCGAAACTCTTTACAATGATTTCTGGAAAAAAATAAAATTTAGAAAGTGCACAAAAATTCGACATAAGAGGAAAGAAGAGAAGGAAAGTCTGGTCCTGTGACACTTGCATTATACGGGTGACTTACATTTGGACTAATATAAACACAAAATGTTATAAGACTGAATATATGAATTATCTGTAACTAATTTGACTTCCATGAAATAATAATATTAACAAATTACAGCAGACTCGGAAATAATCAGTCACATGTGTCCATAAATTGTTTCCATACCTCATCATTCTAATAACTAATGTACACTGAGGGCCACTGTAGTCTCTGCTGTGGTTGGACTTTTTTTTTTTAATAAAAGGTGTGAGGAATCGGCGCCAGGCCCAGTTGTGATGTTAATGTCATTATTCTTGGAGATGTGAGGTCGACTTCCCTGTGACATTGTTGTGTTTCGAGTGTTATCCGTCATATCCAGGCAGCGGCCTTTGCTTTCAACACCTCTTCACTTTGATATGCGCCAACCTCCCTTCCTCTCCAAGAGTTATATTGCCGGAATGAGTGACGTTTTTCACAGCTAATATCTCAAACGTGGAGCACTGCGTACTGTAAGACTTTAGTGGCGTGTATTTCAAATCGAATATCGTAATATTTTGGCTTAAAATGATTTTACAATTTATCTCACCATTTAACGTTACAGCGTATTCATGAAAAGACTTTAGCTCATTCTCATTTTTATATGACTTCTTAGTATCACACATTTGTTTTCAAGTGTCCAAACATAAAACTTTGACATGGACTTTTATAACAGGCCTATACATTTGCAACATCCAGCTATTTTAAAACAATGCGCGCGCTGTCTGTAGGTATTTTACGCACAGTAGCCTGCATTGAATACAGTTCTGTCCTTGTCTCCACTGTTGTTTCTTTTTAACTGGTCAGTGGAGGATTTGGCTCGTGGCTGTTTGAAATTCATTGTACTACAACTGTCATCAAAGCGAGATCAAAAAGCTCAATTTGCGTTTCTGTGGAAAAGGCCACCAGATGTGGATTTGAGATGCGGTTTGTAAAGATGTTGGCTGCAGATAGGCCGGTCCTGGCATGCAGCTGCTCTGTGGAAACCTTCCAGTTCAACCACTTGGATGCAAACATGTGATCCTTAGAAGTACAAGTGAAATCCTTATGTCTCGTTGGTTTATTTCTCACCTCCACAGGTAAAACGAGAACGAAGGAGAAATACAGGGTAGTGTACACAGATCACCAGAGACTGGAGCTGGAGAAGGAGTTTCATTTCAACAGATACATCACCATCAGGAGGAAGTCTGAGCTGGCTGTCAACCTCGGTCTGTCTGAAAGACAGGTATGTCTACCCCAGGAATAAATGCTTTTTTATTTTCTGCCATTTCAGTCTTCAATCAGAAAGCGTTACATCCATTTAGAATACATGAATATAGCCTAAAACACAGATGTACATTTGTGCATTATCTGATACCATATAAATAATAAATAGCTCTTAATGGGACTATATGTGTGTGTATAATATAGTTTTGTCTTCATATTTAACCTACAAAATAATGTCAGTATTGTCATGACTGTAAAATGTGGCTGTATTTACATTGGTACAACTGAAATGTATAATCTTATCCAGGGATTTATTGTACTGTTTAAAATATGTATTGTTTGTAGTTTTTTCTTTTTATAAATGGATGGTGCTATTTACATGTGCAGATTTTGAAAGTATTTATTAGCAGTCAACTTGCTGATATTTTAGAAACACAAATGGTATGGTTGTTTAGTTTTCTTACATTTTTAAATATATAAATTAGGACATAAATCAAAAACATGTACTTACATGTGTTTATTAGACTTTACATCCTATACTCATTTGTTTCCAGTTGTTTAATGAATTTTTAAAGTGTTGTTAAGGCCCATGGAAAAATCTGAAACTACGGTAGGGCACTGCTGTCACATGTCAGACATGAAGTATTTCATGTTTCCTTATCAGGCCTTTTTATTTATAGACTTATGTTTTATTGAAAATAATGGAAGTTATTCTTGTCTTCCTGTACTAGGGTCTGCTTATCAGGCAAGCTAGTTTACTGATAAAGCACCTTGTCATACATAGAAGTCGTTCCAAGTGCTTTTCAAGCAAAGGTACTAAATAGACGATCATTTAATCAGTTGAATAAAAATAAAATAGTGCAGACAAGCTGAATAAAGTGCACACAGATATAGAAAAAAAACGTCAAACGTAAGGGTTATATAATATGGATATGTAAAAAGGAGGTAAATGTTGGTTTAACTGCGTTGTTCTGCGCCTTTTTTCAGGTGAAAATCTGGTTCCAGAACCGCCGAGCAAAGGAGCGGAAGATGATCAAGAAGAAGATGGGTCAGTCCGACGGCAGCGGCGGCTCGGTGCACAGCGACCCGGGCTCGGTGAGTCCTCTGCCGGTGCCGGGCTCGCTCAGCCCCACAGACATCCACGGCTCTCTGTACCCTCCTCAGGGGATGAACACGCTGCCGTCCATCAGGAACATACAGCAGGTGACTGTGACTCAGTAGGAGTTCAGCTGTGGACCATCTCTCATAATAACTGAGCACTCCGACACCTGACAGGCAGCCAGAGGATCTGAACTCACGTCCTGAAGCACAAAGCTGCGGATCAACGTTTGATTTATAGCGACGAAATGCTGGAGGCTCTTCAAATATTGCTTTTTTTTAATAGAATAGTTCTAATAACGTGGGGTTTACGAAAGAGAAAAAAAAATCGACGTGTTTCAAACTTAAAAAGCTTTAAATTGTTTGTGAGTTAATAAGATATAAATATCCTGTGTTTGTTTTTGTTTTTATTTTTTGTATGTGATGAAGTGTATGTGTTTGTGAATAAAATGAGATTTCAGGGACATCCAGTGAGGCTTCACACTGGATCTTAAGTAGCTCAGAGTCACTGGACAAATCAGGTTTTTTAGCACAACTTTGTGCAAAGAGCAGGTGTTAATTAAAACCAACAGGAAGGTCGTTTGATGGCAACTTTTAAAATGTAAATAAAATGCTTTTTTTTTTTTGCATTTGCATTGCATTTTATTTTTGCAGGGTGGGGGCATGTTTGGATAAGGTGTTGCAGCATATTTTATATTTCTTACAAGACACTGAACAGCCAGTCAGGCTGTGATCTGCTGCAAGTCACAAATTCAGTTTTCAGAAATGATCCTTCAAAGATAAATGTTGTTTTTATGCACGATAGATTTGAAATAAATACTCCTTTAAAATTCTCAAAAAATGTCCTTTACGCTTATGCTTTTACCTTGACAGTATATAAAGGTCTGGACCTGCCTTCCTAAGCTGACATAAACATGTGTCACTTCAATTTACCTACTTTTAACTTTGATTTACAAAAGGTCTGACAAAAATGGCTTTTTTCCAAAGTAACCACAAAATAACTGAGTTCCCTTTCAGCAGGAGTGGCAAGTTTTAGTGTGCATGCAAGGCTCTGTTTCTTGTCATTTACTGTATCTCTGAACTTGCTCCACTATTCGGGACTTAGATACCAACAAGTATAACAATAGTAGTATACTTTACTTTTTTACTTTTGATTTTGTCACAAGATGCACAAGTCCTTCTTTGTCTTTACTCTTTACTACTGGTAGAAAAATGGTGGTTGAGTTACAGCAGAAAAAGCACAATGCTAGACGAGTAGTAAACCTTTTTTTTTTTTGCAGTTTTGCAGAAATTCAAATATCAGTTTAGGGAACAAAATGTAATTTCAAATTGATAGAAATCCCAAAAGTAAAGTACCTTCACTAAAGCAGAGCATTAAGTGAGATTTGTCCAAAACAGTACTTTACTTCAGCTACAGCTCAAATAGTGTTTTTACAGTGTAATGGTGGAGCTTGTCCCAGTGTTTAGTGTAAACACCCAAAACATGGGCCCACTTTGTTTTAGGGCCTGGAAAATTCAACAGCAACTGACTCTTTGATCTGAAGGTCTGTAGGTGCAGAATAAGAGGTTAAAAGTTTTGAGATTCACAGCAGAACCAGAACATGTACAGACTGAAAAGTAATCATGAGAATCTGAAATTGAAATCTGTAAAGAATCACCAGCCAGAGGTCATTTGTTGTACAAGCATCACCACATAAATATGGGCTGAAATATATGCTTACATGTTTGGGCTTAACAAGAAAAAAATAGCAGTTTGCATCTATCGTTTTCCCTTTAGACAACTTCTAATGACACTATATTCAACCAACAAACTACTTGAAGTTATGAGAATTGCTCAGTTTTAGTTACACCTTACTTTATAGCATAACCTTTAAAAAAAAATAAGTTTTTAAAGTTAGTTACTCAGAAAAATTATGTTGTTCCAAGCAGTATTTCTACATTATTTAAAAGGAGTTTGTAAGTGTTATGTAATTATGAACACAGGTTTTTAAGTTGGTAAAATTAAAAACAAAGCTGTTCCAGTGTTTAGTAGGTAGCAGACATGAAAGATGAAGAAAATATAAATCATCAAACCAATTTTATAGTTATTTCAACTTCACTTTTCAAATGAAATGCAAAAATCTGAGTTTAACTTAAATATATGAGTTGGATACAATTACCTTATGTAAAGTATTTATTATTGCCTTTTTGTATTTACCTTTCAGTTTTTGCACTATACAGGAATGTAAAATAAAATAACATAAAATAAATGATTTAATAGATACATTTGAGTTGAACTTATGTACAATATTACATTGATGCAATTACCAACATTGTTATGTCAACACAAGCCTTCAAATTAATGTTGGCAATTTAAAAGGTTTATCTAAACCAGTAAAGTGAACATTTTTTATTCTTGCAACCATGTATTTACCTAAGTAGTGGGAATAGGTCTTTTTAGAGTGTGTGAGGGTTAACATTTCAATATTTCTTGTTGACATGTTGATTAAAGTTCTACATCTCCATCAGGCGCACTGTGATTTTACACTTTCAGAGACAAATGTTCAACCGTGACATGCTGATTGTGGCTAGACTCTCACTGACTTTGACCTGTGATCCAGTGATCCATGTCTGAGCTGAACGGGTCCATAGATTTCCGCAGATTCTTCCGGTGTCTCGGTGATGTTCCAGAGAGCTGCTCCCCTCCAGCTGAGAGCAGACGCTCCGGCTCTGCGTGCACGCACTCGCTCATGCGTCCGTGCGCGGCCCCGCGGGAAGACGTTATGAGCGTCTTACTACCCAACATGGCGGACTTTGATACCATTTATGAGTTAGAAGACGAAGAGGATGAGCACGTAGTGAGTGAGGAACACCTGCCCAGATACTGTCCGGAGCCCGTGGTGATGCGAGGGGCCGGACACATCACCGTGTAAGCGGAGCCGCGTCTGTCGCTGCTGTCTGTTCGGGCGTCGCTTTGTTGTGCTTAGCCTGTGTAGCTGAAGCTAGCCTGCGAGCTAACTCAAATCACAACAACTAACAGTTAGCCATATGTTTAGTCCGGGGGGTAGTTGGTTTGCACACAAGCCACACTTTACCACGACGTAAACTAATGTTAACTGTTTTATACCTTCATGGCAACTGTAGATGTGATAAAGTAGCCACCGACATTGACGTGGCCAAGTTTACATGTGATATACCGTCAGTAGCTGGAAGTCTGATCACCGAGCAGACTGATGCATCAGCATCCACCATGTGTTTAGAACAGGCTCTCTTACATTTTCTTATAAACGTCATCAGCTTAATCTCAATCTAACACTTGATTATCGTAAGTTTTATCATTGTTTACACGTGATCGTCAGGACATTAGCTGACACAGATATCTCGGTATATATACATACGTTTCCTTGTAATGATTAGATCTAGTTGGTGTCCTGCTCCTCTCATGTTCACAAAATAGTCTTTTAAAACCAGAAATTAGCCCAAATCCTGTATCATATTCCTCTATTTACTCCAACTCAACATTCAATTTCTTTCTACCTGTGGTCTAACAAAGCATTCAGTAAAGACAGAGTGCTTCAGTTATAAAGTGTATTATATAGTGGCCTGAAATATAATTTAAATGGTCTATTTAAATTTTCATGCAGATGTGTTGCATCACAGACATAATAGGTATATGACAGGATTGCACAATAATATACTGTTGGTAGTACAAAGTTCTCTTATAAAATGTGATAAGTGCTAAATTAAAAAAAAAAAAAAAAAAAAACCCTAAAATAGGTGTTTATTGAAAATAATACAAAAGTTTTGTTTTCAGCATCATTCAGAATTAGAGCCTGACCAATACTGGAGCTTTGGGGCTGATGGCTATTTTTAGTCAGTAGAAAGAAAGTCAGTGTTAATATATCAGCTATATTGCATTTAAAAAAACTAGTTACCAGCTTATAGTGAAGACACCTCTGACTCGGCACCATCTTCTGTGATATGTACTCTGCTACATGTGCTGCATCCGGTGCTGATGGTATTCTAAAGAATAGAGTGGACAAACTGTAACCCATGCATCTTTGTCTACGTTATGTTTTGGTGCTCAGCGGACAACATGTATTCCAATTCTGGTCTACCCTACATCTGTCTGTCAGTGATATATCTTTGACGACATGTATGCTGATATTGTCACAGATATATCAGTACTGACATGCATGTTGTTCGTTATATCTCACAGATATTCAGTTTACTGGCATAGAGAAGTAAAGAAACCAGAAAATAGTCACAATAATACTTAATTATTGTAAGTTTTATCATTGTGTTCAGGCGGTCCATAGCTACATTTGATTTAAAGTTGGTGGTTGTTGCACATTTTTAAGATGGACAGCATGAGGCACAGATCACATCAGACTACCAACTTCATTTATAATTGCTTTTATCATTGTCATCATTGTCAGATCCTCCTTTCATCTTAATCTGACTAGTAGATGGCAGCTGTCCTCAACTTAGCATTAGAGCTGCAGCGATTATTCTGTTTTTTGTAGCAGTACAGTTACCTTAAAGACCAGTTTTTGAAAAAGCTACTTTTGTATTTGATGAGCTTTTTGCTAACAATAATTTAGTTATTTCAGACAAATACCAGTAGATCTATTTGACTGTAAACTTTTAGCATTTGTGGCACTTCTGCAGTAGGTGTTGTATGTTGTGTTGTAACAATTATTTGTCAACTAATATATTATTTGCCAACTATTAATGGATTTATTAATAACTTTCCCAGCTTTTTATATTTGGATGTTTTGTGGTTACTTTTAGAGCCTGGTCCATTTATCGATTGGCTCAGATTAGTGACTGATATTGGCCTATCACAGATATGCTGGTAGCACTAGATAGAAATAAACTTTGTTTTACAGAGCATAATACAGAAAAAGATGCTTGGAGTAAGTTAGCAGCAGTGTGTTTTAGACTGCATATTTACAATACTCTCAGCACTGTCTGCATCGCATGCAGCAGAGTACTTGGACAATGGTACGGAGTCAAATTTGTCTGTATGGTGGTTTGTTAAATTCTTTGCTGGAAAGTTAAATGAAAAAAAAAAAAGAGTAAAATTTGCATTGGCAGTCAACATCATGTATAGGCTGTGATGACATGCTGCATATCGTCTG